TTAAAAAACCTTTGGTTTCCCAATCACCATGGAACAGCTTGGTTAACAGTGTTAGAATGGTGTGTTAGAATGTGACTCTGGAACCAGATTCCACATTACAAGTATTGAACTGGTAAAACATGCCACTCACATTGAGTCGGAATATCTTGCTAAATCTATATTGTTTAAATGAACAGTTTGCGAAAAGCGTAGCTCTTAACAATTGCATTGTCGAGCATGAGTGAACATAGAAAGCTCCTAACATGAGATGTTAAAGTGAAAGCTTTCCAGTTAATTGAAATTGATTACTTTTTTGAGAAGGCAATGTGAATTTAAGCATTTGGAGGAGGAATGCTATGCCTTTTAGGCTTTAAGAACTTGATTGCCTGAGCCCAGTTTTGAAGAACCTTCTTCTCCTAAGCAAGTGACCTCAAAGAGGCTCTTCTGGCGTGCAAGGAGGCGTTTTAAAGCACACAACTTTTCCAGGAAAGAACTATCACAGTGCTTGTATTTTAAGACAAAATGGGGATTATTCTCTGAGGAAAAGTAGCACAACTCTAAAAATGGCCAAAGCCTGCAATAATGGTTATCACAAAGTCACACTGGCATATACTCTGGTACATTTATGTTAGGATATGGGTTTAAATGTAATTAAATATTGTTTGTAGTTTAAAATGTGTGTGGTGTAGCAATGCGATGTAAGGGTTAAATGCACAGAGCTGTGCTTGATTCCTAGAGCATAACAGTAATGTGTTTACATTCCACAAGATCAGATTGCCATGTGGTTTGAGCTTCCAGTGATGTACAGCTAGTGAACTGATGTGTTTTATTCTGCTCCTGCTTGTAGTTTAGTATTTGCAATAAAGTAAGGTGATTGTGCTAATACGGCTGTACCAGGAGCTCCTACTTCATTTTCTTTCTATTGAGTGTTTTCCAAGGTTCCATTCATTTTGTATTCCCTTGCTCTGCAATTATATGGCCAATGACCCATCAATCATCATTATATTCTTTAGTTCCACCCCTTTCCCCAGGGCTCTGGGAGGGAAAAGAAAGACTTCAGACAGTTTTTCAGTTTTGGAAGCCCAGTTAAGATATGAGCTTTCCCCACCTGTAGAGAAGCTTCATTTCTCACAACATCCGGGGGAAACAGCCCTAAAGCGTCTAAGGAAAACAATTTTACAGCACAACCCTTGTTGGGGTTAAAGATACAAATCCACATCATTCATGGAGAAAATCCAAAAGGACTCCAGCTGGAAAATCTACAAGATCTTGGCTGGTAGGTCTACTTGGGTAACCAGAAGCAATTGGAGCCGGGAGTAGGGCCCACACCAGCAGAGTCTAGAAAACAGATTGCCTGGGAGGGGTCAAAAAGGGTTTTCCTTGCTAAAGAAAGAAATAGTTCTCCAAGCAAGGTGCCCACCAGTTGATTCAAAGCCTTGAAGCATTTGTTTAATTTGTTGAAGATCTAAGAAGTATTTGATTGTTTTTGAACACTTAAGCAATAATAAAGGACTTTGTTAAACCTTTCAAGCTTCTAAAAACTCTGTATAGGAAAATCCTTAGGGCCTCTCACTCAAGGCACCCTGGCTTCCCACTGGGCACAAAGAGCACGTCCTGTTCAAAAGCCAACTACTATAGGCCCAGCACGTGACAGCACAGTGATAGTATGATCGCTGGGTCCGGAAGCTCTGAACGTTACTCACATTCTGCAATGGCGGTTGTGAATAAGGGAAAGGGAGAGCGGCACACTGAGGGTGGGAATATACTTCGTAGTTGCATTTGGTGGAAGGATAGAAAGGAGGAGAGGGTTAGGATAAGCTTTAGGGTAAGATTTAGGGTTAGAGTTTGGGATAGGGTAAGGGTAAGGGTTAGGATTAGCATTAGGGGTTAGGGTAAGGTTTAGGGTTTGGGTTGAGGTTGGGGTTAGGATTAGGGTTTGGGTTAGGATTAGGGTTAAGGGTAAAGTTTAGTGTAAGGGTTAGGGTTTTACCATTAAAGAACTCTTACATTCCTTCTATATTATCTGTGTTCCATTCTGCATTGCACAAACAGCATTCCGGAGGAGCGAAGCAGAAACAGCATAACGCTCAGAGCTTCCAGACCCAGCTTTCATACTATTTCCTAAAGTAAGCCACTCCAGGCTTTGGAGTTGATCTAAAGTTGCATGTTGAATTAATTTTCCTTGTGCTCTCCATGTGGGTGCCATCAGATATTTCCATTATGATTCATAACAGTAGCAAAATTACAGTTATGAAGTAGCAATGAAAATAATGTTATGGTTGTTGGTCACCACAACATGAGGAGCTGTATTAAGGAGTTGTGGCATTAGGAAGGTTGGGAAACACTATTCTAGACTGTCCTGCAGTCTGTACCAATACTTGTTTCATTTAGATATCTAACCAGCTACAGAAGCTTGGCCTGAATTAATTTCTTCAGTGATGCTTATATAATTCCGAATCAAGTTCTTCGGTGATGCCCATATAATTCTGAACAATTTCATCTTTGATTTGCTCAATCTATTTTTCTTTTAACCCCGAATTGTGGGTTGAGTGTGTGTAACAGAGTATGCTTTTTTGATCTACTCAATCTGTTGTGTAATATGATTAGTTTTGCTCTTCATTGGATCCCATTTAAAACAAGGAAATGTAGGGGGGGGGGGGCTTTAATTGAGAAGGGATTGTTCTATCACCTTTTTAATTATGAAATTGTGAAACCATGGTGAGGAGACCAGTATGTTAGAAACCACACAATATATATAATTAACCACCAATTGTTGGTTAACGCTAAACTCTTTGCAAAGGCCTAAAAGTAAAATGTCTTGGGAGATCATTTCCTCTGGCACAACATAATTCCATCTACTGCTTATGTATGTTCTGCGGAATAAGTGTCTTGTAGCATTAAAATTATATCCCTGAATACGGTGGGTGATAGGTTATTTATGTCCTCTAAATCTTCACATGTACCTTGATGGCATGTTTATCATCTGCCATTAAAGTTACCAGGTAATACGTCTGAGAATGTGTCCCAATGGCATGTATTTTCTGTAACCTATTTACCAGTCAGCCTCCAAATCCCCTGAATGTTAGACTAGGAAATAAAGATTTATATGGCATATTATGGGACTATATGTCCATCCTGCCTGTAATAAGAGTGAAACAGAAGATTTAAAGGGTAGCAAATCTTTTCTATAGCTCTTCTTATTGCTGATTTAACTTGTATAAATAACACAGCTTTGCTTATCTAGGTTCGCAGGCAAGTAGTAAGAAAAAGCATTGTTTGGCATAGAATGCATGTTGTAGTTGCAACGTGCAAACAAGAAAAGGTCACAGACATTATTGATTGCATTTCGAGAGAGTGGGCTTATTGTGGGGTCTGGATCCAGACATTGGCCAAGTTTCTTGTCAGCTGATGAAGTCTCCAGCCTGGTTTGGAGTTCTATCTGTTTTGAAGAAACTACATGGTTCTCCTGACACTTGGGAATGAGTTGGGTATAGCCTTAATCAGCTGTGCCCCCAAGGTCCCTTAACAAGACCCCCACACTGGAACACCATTCTCATCAAAATTTGATCCTTGCCCCTACAAAAACTGCCAAAGAACTGACAAAATCAAAATGTGAAATTAATTGAAGAGAATATTCCAGCAAGCCCAGGGACCAACTACCTGCTGGGATACTGAGGAGGTTCCCGGAACACACATAATAAATCCTCTTGTTTGCCAGGACAGCCCACCCACTCTGGAACTGCCAGGCAATCAAATGCTAATCAAGGTGGTCAGTTGAAACATTCACACCTAGCTCCAGAAGACAAGAGTCCTTTGTCCCACCCTGGTCATTCCACAGATATATAAACCCCTTTTCCTCGTTCCAACAGACCTCACTACCTCTGAGGATGCTTGCCATAGATGCAGGCGAAACGTCAGGAGAAAATGCCTTTAGAACATGGCCATACAGCCTGAAAAAACCTACAACAACCCAGTGATTCCGGCCATGAAAGCCTTCAACAATACTCTTTGTTTTGCTTCTTCCCTGACAAGCCTGGGCAATAATCCTAGAACAGTGTTTCTCAAACTGGGGGTCATTTGAACCCCCAGGGGGGTCGTGAGGGCGGTTTCAGAGGGGTCGCCAGAGACCATCAGAAAGGGGCTCTTTGATTGTAGATGAACTATAAATCCCAGCAAATACAACTCCCAAATATCAAGGTCTATTTTCCAAAAACTCCACCAGTGTTCACAATTTGGCATATTGAGCATTCATGCCAAGTTTGGTCCAGATTTATCATTGTGTGAGTCCACAGTGCTCTCTGGATGTGGGTGAACTACAACTCAAGGTCAATGCCCTCCAAACCCTTCCAGTATTTTCTGTTGGTCATGGGAGTTCTGTGTGCCAAGTTTGGTTCAATTCCATCGTTAGTGGAATTCAGAATGCTCGTTGATTGTAGGTGAACTATAAATCCCAGCAACTACAACTCCCAGATGACAAAATCAATTTCCCCAAACCCTGCCAGTATTCAAATTTGGGCATATCAGGTATTTGTGCCAAATTTGGTCCAGTGAATAAATATACCTCCTGCATATCAGATATTTACATGATGATTCATAACAATAGCAAAATTAGAGTTATGAAGTAGCAACAAAAATAATGTTATGCTTGGGAGTCCCCACAACATGAGGAACTGTATTAAGGGGTCACAGCATTAGGAAGGTTGAGAACCACTGCCCTAGAGAAAATCATGGTGACCTGTCCTCAACAAACTGGAATTAAATAATATTTGCCATGCTGTGAAACATGTATTTGGGCAGTGACAAAACACAAAAATATAACAGGAGGCTTCAGCCAGCTGGGAATCTCCATAGCATGCTTGGTGAACATTCAGTGAAGTGAAGGTGTGTTTGCTTTTATGCTGAGGGAGGACATGCCAAATCTCTAATATGCGACAGAGTTCCCAAGCGCCCTTATGTTTGAAACGTGAGTTGTCTGACATGAGCTTCAGTTTCTCTCTTGTTCTCTCTTCTCACATTTACAGGTAGAAGAAGCCTTAGAAGCTGTGAAAAATGCCACAAATGAACAAGACCTTGCAAATCGCTTCAAAGAATTTGGAAAAGAGATGGTGAAACTTAATTATGTCGCTGCTAGAAGGCAACAGGTGTGTACAATGCGGTGGTGGACAACGTTTGACCCACAAACAGGATATGAACCCCACGATCATTGTCTTCCTTCCCAATATTTTTCATTGCATTATTAGAAATTTCTCCTAAGGAGGCACATAAGGAATTTCACTATGCTGTTGTCCTCTCCATACATTGGTTTATGTCCAGAAGAGCCTAGGGAGGAGGCATGGTTATATTGTATTTCTTATATTCTTTGTAGAACATAGAGGCATTTCGGTATGTGTTTTTCTTCCCCAAAGTTAAATGCCTATGAGGCTGTGGTTGTTGCAGAAGTGTGTGTCCGTCAAGTCTGAAGAGATCAATGCACCTCCACCTCTTTGGCAGTTATCTACCTGTCATGTGGCTGGATTAATAAATGAGCACAGTACTTATGGTACCGTGTAATGTAATTGCAATACCTTCTGAAAAGCAACTCCCAAAGAAACCTTCCAGAGTGGCTTCTCACACACCATGAGAAGTTGCAGTAAAAACCAAAACAAAGTAAAGTAATCATATAGTGATTGTCAACATCCATTTATTTTCATCCAGCTTTTAATTAATAGAGCTTGGGACTATTATCCAATGCTATTCCAACTGTTTTCTACTTAAATTGTCAATTTTAAAAAAGAATAAATCGGGACCAGAATTTAGCTATTCTAGTTGTTTGATTAACTTAAAACATAGGACTCAACACAAGACCCTAAATTCTTATGCCTGTAACATTTGCAAGATAATTGTTGCACTCATAATATATGCCTTGTACTGAAAATTATTATTATAGTCTGTTGGAAGATGTATTCTGAACCACATGACCTTCTGGCAAGGAAACTAGTCAAATGTGGGCTAGGCAAAACTACGGTGAGGTGGATCTGTAATTGGTTAAATGGACGAACCCAGAGGGTGCTCACCAATGCTTCCTCTTCATCCTGGAAAGAAGTGACAAGTGGAGTGCCATCAGCAGGGTTCCGTCCTGGGCCCGGTCCTGTTCAACATCTTTATTAATGACTTAGATGAAGGGTTAGAAGGCAGGATCATCAAGTTTGCAGACAACACCAAATTGGGAGGGATAGCCAATACTCCAGAGGACAGGAGCAGGATTCAAAACAATCTTGACAGATTAGAGAGATGGGCCAAAACTAACAAAATGAAGTTCAACAGTGACAAATGCAAGATACTCCACTTTGGCAGGAAAAACGAAATGCAAAGATACAGAATGGGGGACGATGATGCCTGGCTCGAGAGCAGTACGTGTGAAAAAGATCTTGGAGTCCTCATGGACAACAAGTTAAACATGAGCCAACAATGTGATGTGGCGGCAAAAAAAGCCAATGGGATTTTGGCCTGCATCAATAGGAGCATAGTGTCTAGATCTAGGGAAGTAATGCTACCCCTCTATTCCGCTTTGGTTAGACCACACCTGGAATATTGTGTCCATTTCTGGGCACCACAATTCAAGAGAGATATTGACAAGCTGGAATGTGTCCAGAGGAGGGCGACTAAAATGATCAAGGGTCTGGAGAACAAGCCCTATGAGGAGCGGCTTAAGGAGCTGGGCATGTTTAGCCTGAAGAAGAGAAGGCTGAGAGGAGATATGATAAATATGTGAAAGGAAGCCACAGGGAGGAGGGAGCAAGCTTGTTTTCTGCTTCCATGGAGACTAGGACGCAATGGAACAATGGCTTCAAACTGCAAGAAAGGAGGAAGAACTTCCTGACTGCGAGAGCTGTTCAGCAGTGGAACTCTCTGCCCCGGAGTGTGTTGGAGGCTCCTTCTTTGCAAGCTTTTAAACAGAGGCTGGATGGCCATCTGTCAGGGGTGATTTGAATGTAATATTCCTGCTTCTTGGCAGGGAGTTGGACTGGATGGCCCATGAGGTCTCTTCCAACTCTTTGATTCTATGATTCTAAAGGTATGAAATTTCTCCCTTGAAATTTCACAGATTTGTTTTTATAAAGATAGCCACATCTCTTTGCTACAACTAGTGGATTCTTATCCACATTCAACTATTTGTCCGTTCAAGGGTGAATTGTTGTTTTTGGCTGTTGCAGAACTATTACAAGATAGTTACCATGTAGAGTTCATTAGAGAAAATGGAGGACACAAATCAGAGCATGGAAACTTCAACAGCACGCAATCAGATTTCTGCTCATGCAACAAGGGTTTTTCTGTCATTGCCTGCGTTGTACTATTTGGACTGTCTACAAACATCACTCTTAACTTCTGGAACAATTCCATTGGCATTGCCTCTGAAAAATCCTGAAAATCTCTTGGGCAGACAGGTGGACAAATGTCAGCATTCTGAAAGAAACAAAGATCACAATTGAAACAATGATCCTCCATCATCAACTTTGCTGGACTGGCCATGTTGTCTGAATGCCAGATCACTGTCTCTCAAAGCTGTTACTCTACTCCCAACTAAAGAACGGAGTGGAACTTGGAAGGCTGAGGGACAGTCAAAGAGATTTAAAGATGGGTTTAAAGCCAAACTTTAAAACTGTGGTATAGACACTGAGAGAAAATGGGAAGCTCTGGCCCTTGATTGGTCTAACTGGAGGTCAGCTGTTACCAACAGTGCTGTGGACCTGGGTTGCTGTGAGTTTTCAGGGCTGTATGGCCATGTTCCAAAAGCATTCTCTCCTGATGTTTCACCCACATCTATGGCAGGACATGGCATTTCAGCCTGGAAATCTCACAGCAACCCAGTGATTTCAGCCACAAAAGCCTTCAACAACACATAGTGCTGTGGAATTCGAAGAGGCCGGTATGGAAGGTGAAAGGGAGAAATATGTCAAGAAGGCATATTCTTCTTATTGGGACCACCTTCCATCTGGAATTCAATGTCCTCACTGCAAAAGGACATGCGGATCAAGAATAGGTGTCTACAGTCACCTACAGATCAACTACCAAGACCCTACACTTGAAAGGCAATTATCCTCAGCCATGGGCTCCCGGTGGCACAGTGGGTTAAACCCTGTGTTGGCAGGACTGAAGACCGATAGGTCGCAGGTTTGAATCCGGGGAGAGTGCGGATGAGCTCCCTCTGTCAGCTCCAGCTCCTCATGCGGGGACATGAGAGAAGCCTCCCACAAGGATGGTAAAACATCAGAATATACCGGTGTGGGCAATGTCTTTGCAGACGGCCAATTCTCTCATACCCGAAGCGACTTGCAGTTTCTGACACACACACACATACACACACACACACACACACACAAACCAATCCTCAGCCATAAGTGATAGCCTATGATGTTGATGACTCGATGGTGAACTGCAGACTGTCCTGCAAACCTCCATAGCACATTGGCAGGCTCATGGGTTCAAGATGGATATTGATCTGCCACTTGTGGCTTTTCCACAGTTGGAGAAAAACTATTGGCTCCAACTCAAAGGTAGATAGGAGGAAAGGAGGAAAGAAACTAGATAGATGAATGCATTCTTCATGTTTTAATTTTGTAAATGTCCTCTGCTGATTTTTATATGTATGTATGTGATTCTGTATATGTATGTATTTTGAAACAGGAGCTCAAGGACCCCCACTGTAGGGATGAAATGGCTGCCGCTCGTGGTGCCCTGAAGAAGAATGCCACAATGCTCTATACGGCTTCCCAGGCTTTCCTCCGCCATCCTGATGTAGCAGCAACCAGAGCCAACCGGGATTATGTCTTCAAGCAAGTCCAAGAAGCAATTGCTGGCATCTCAAATGCTGCTCAGGCCACTTCACCAACTGATGAGAACAAGGGGCACACCGGCATCGGAGAGCTGGCTGCAGCACTGAATGAATTTGATGTAAGTAGTAGGCCTTTTGAAAAGCATGGCCAAGAATAACTGAGAGGGTTTTTTAACCTTTTCTCACCTTTTTAAAAATTATATGCCAGGAATACCTAGGGTCTGTGTTCCTTTTGTGGTTTGCTTGCTTATCATCAAAATGTTTTCTTCATGCCTCACATCACAGTTTCTCAGAGTGGTATGCAATAAAAAGAATTCAAGCAGCTTAAAAAAAATATAAAGTAAGAGTAATTTAAGTAGGTGTGCTGTCACGAGCTGGGCCTATAGCAAATGGCTTTTGAACAGGACGTGCTCTTTGTGCCCAGCGGGAAGCCAGGGTGCCTCGAGTGAGAGGCCCTAAGGATTTTCCTATACAGAGTCTTTAGAAGCTTGAAAGGTTTAACAAAGTCCTTTATTATTGCTTAAGTCTTCAACAAACAATCAAATACTTCGTAGATCTTCAACAGGTCAAAGAAATACTTCAAGGCTTTGAATCAACTGGTGGCTTTCTTAGTCTTGTCTACAAGGGACAGGCAACTGGCTTTGTGAACTGTTTCTTTTCTTTAAGAGGAAAACCCTTTTTAACCCCTCCTTGGGCAATCTACTCTCTAAACTTTGCTGGTGTGGGCTCTACTCCCGGCTCCAAACTGCTTCTTAGGTCCCGAGTAGACCTACCAGTCAAAGCTTTGTAGATTCTCCAGCTGGAGTCCTTTGGAACTGTTTTCCCCCGGATTTCCCCCCGGATGCTGTGAGAAACGAAGCTTCTCTACAGGTGGAGCTAATCCACGTCCTGTAGCTAAGCTTTCCAATGCAAGACTGACCTAAAATTGCTCCCTCTCCTCCCTGAACCCTGGGAAAAGGGGTGGAACCAAAACTTAACAATGATTGATGGGTCATTGGCCCTATAATTGCAAACCAAGGGAAGCCACCTTATTGCAAAATGCATGGAACCTTGGAATGCATGTAAACATTCAGTAGAAAGAAATGAAGTTGGAGCTCCTGGTACAGCCGTACCAGCACAATAAGCTAAAATGTACAGATTAATTTGACAAGTTAAAACAACTTTAAAGTGTCTTTAACCATTAAAGATAGTTTTAACCCATGTATATATTTGATATATATTATCAGCTAGCTTTATGGCAAGGAGATAGTACTCTAGCCCCTGCCTTTTTCTGTATCTGCAGCATTCAAACTATCTGAAAGGGCAGCTCTACTTAGCAATAATCAAATCAGGAAATTATAAGTGTGAGTACATTATTTCGTATCATGTTGACTGGCTCCAAAATCACAAAGATTTCAGTGGAGCTAAGAGCCAGACTGAAATATTAAGATAACACAGTAGAGCTGACAGCAGGAGAATTGAAAAGGAAACATTTTAAAAAGTTAATAAGGAAAGGTACCTGTAAAGCAAGTAAAACGTATGGAAGAACAGTTTTGTTTCACCTGGCTCCAATTGCTATTATTAGCTCACTAGAATAAACAGATCAGCCAGAATTTGCACAAGTGTTGACTTGCTCATGCAACCATTTCTTCAGTGATTGAACTCAGAATAGTTGCCACTTGACCATCCTTGAGTTGCCAGTATCTTTGAGAACTTCATTCCACAAAGGGAACCACCAAAGAAAAGGATGCTGTGTGCAACTTTGCTATGAACCATTGTAAAGTAGACCTTGCGTTACAGTGACGCAATTCTCCTATGAATGGGAGACTTCCAAGTCACTTCGCCATCAGCAGCCCTGCTCAGGTCTTGTAGGCTCAGGACTGTGACTTCATTGACCAGTATCCATTTTTTAATGTAGTCTTCCAGCTTTTCTACTGCCTTCTACCTTTCCAAGCATCTTTATCTTCTCTAGTGAGTCATGTTTTCACACGATATGTTCAAAGTATACCAGTATATTGTAACAGCCTTCTCTAAAATAAAGTCATGCTACCCCTCTATTCTGCCTTGGTCAAACCGCACCTGGTATCCTGTGTCCAATTCCTTCTTTGGAGGCTTTTAAACAGAGGCTGGATGGCCATCTGTTGGGGGTGCTTTGAATACAATTTTCCTTCTTCTTGGCAGGGGGTTAGACTGGACGGCCCATGAGGTCTCTTCCAACTCAAGGATTCTATGATTCTGTGAAAGTGAGGGAGCAGTCAAAGCAATGCTACTTACCTGATTGTTGCCCTATCTATCTATCTATCTATCTATCTATTATTGGAAAGTGTTATCAATACAGTTGTGATATATAGATAGATAGATAGATAGATAGATAGATAGATAGATAGATAGATAGATACATAGAGTGTCTAGAGATTTTAGTTCAAAAAACGTCCCAGAAATATGTCTCTAATTATCCAAGGGTCAATGTGGGTAATGTACTTTTACTCTTGGGGGTGGGGAATCTCAATAAGCAAGAACTGTCAAAAGCAGCATCAACCTTCCTATTCTCTCCACCATAGCACCAGTTCTGGCTTTGTTGAATTCCTAGGTGTGGAAATGGCAGCATAGCAAAGCGAGATTCTCTTTCCCCTGTCTAGAAGATCCACAGATAATATCAAAATCCATCATTTTACCCCCAAAATCTGCTCTTGACTTATACTTGAAGTTGACATATGCGTGAATATATATGGTAGTTCTCCATAGGGGGGGAAATGAATATTTTCCCGTTATTTGACTAGCAGAACTAGACTTAACATTTAGTCATCCCTTGCTATGAATATTAAATGTGAAATATGTTTATTTCGGGTTTCTGCACACATTTTGCTAAATTCCACCCTTCTTAGTCAATGATAGCTTGATCAGATTGTGGACGTGAGTATTCCTCCTCCCCTTCTCCAATTTGTATATATGGTAATAAGCCGCACACACTTTTAGCTCACTAGAATCACCTGATGCTTGGCAGTTTCAAGCTGATGCTAGCCTGTGCTCTCCAGAAAGGACTGTACTGAACTCTGTCACAGATCTGGTATTGTGTGATGATAAACACAATGACAAATCAGACTATGCAGAGCTTCCAGCAGATACTCTTCACTGCTATATTATCCATACAACCTTCAGATTACAGGTAATTGTTTTTGCAAGCTATGGATACGCTTGGGAAAATATCAGTGTAGCATACTCTATATATGTATGAGCAATATAGTTTTTGAAGTAACATTCTTTAAAAAGTAAAAAGAAATGAATGCATTTAAATGAGCTAATGAGGAATATTTCAAGCGACACACATTTTAAAATAATTGTTGTGGTGTCTTTGATACTGTTTTCCATTTGCGGGCAAGTGATTTGCTGTAGCAATTTGTTGTTATTGCTCTTCTGAATAAGACTTGAGCATCTTGTCTTCATGAGATTTCAAGATTCATGGTGTCTAACGTGTCTAAGGTCATTCAGAATCAAGTCTTGTGTTTATGTTCTTGGTAATTAACAAGAGCAGCAGAACATGAAGTTTGCCTTGCAGGAATTTCAGATGAAGGAAGAAAATTGGTCTGTGGTAAAGCATTGAGAACAGCATTCTTTGCGAATAAGATATGGATTGAACATCTCCTGTTGATAGCAAAAACATTTGAAACTAGTAGGGTGTCTTGGAAAGTTGATATTTAAAGAGCTGAGTCTTCAATTGTACTTCTTCTCAGCATGGAGTTTGCTGTAGGTTTGTTTATATCTCAGAAATGTGTGACTTTCTATCGTTGGATAATTCTGCAGAGTTAGTTATAATTGCCAGTGTGTGCCTGAAATATAATAAACAGTTTTTTTAGCATTTCCATAAATAAGAAACACCCAAATCTCCATTGTGTGGAACATCAAAGCTGTAGCTTTTTGACTTTTCTTTCTTAGCTTTACTCCCCTCCCCAACCACCAACTGTTTTGTTGCTAAATGTAAACATGTAGAATGGTAAGATTTAACTTTCTTTAAGTTCCAGATATTAACATAGGTTTCCATGAGTTGTATTCAAACTTAGACCCATTTATTTCAACTATTTTAATCCAAGTATAGACTTATGTCTATAGAGCCCCCGGTGGCACAGTGGGTTAAAGCACTGAGCTGCTGAGCTTTTTGATCGAAAGGTCGCAGGTTCGATTCCGGGGAGTGGCGTAAGCTTCCGCTGTCAGCCCTAGCTTCTGCCAACCTAGCAGTTCGAAAACATGCAAATGTGAGTAGATCAATAGGTACCGCTCCGGCGGGAAGGTAACGGCGCTCCATGCAGTCATGCCGGCCACATGACCTTGGAGGTGTCTACAGACAACGCTGGCTCTTCGGCTTAGAAATGGAGATGAGCACCACACCCCAGAGTCAGACATGACTGGACTTAATGTCAGGGGACTACCTTTACCTTTATAGACTTATGTATTATCAGCAAAGAAATGCTTCTAGCTATGAACAAAAATTTGAGCAGATTCACACCTACCTCCAACGAACAAGAGATCTTTCTCCCACTCTGAACCTTCCATAGATATACAAATCTCCCTTGTCTAGTTTCCAATATATAGTAGAGTCTCGCTTATCCAACCTTCTGTATTATCCAATGCAGTCTGCCTATCACCTCGATCCACAGCTGTCTCAATACATTGTGATGTTTTGGTGCTAAATTTGTAAATACAGTAATTACTACATAACATTACTATGTATTGAACTGCTTTTTCTGATGATTTGTTGTAAAACATGATGTTTTGGTGCTTAATTTGTAAAATCATAACATAATTTGATGTTTAATAGGCTTTTCCTTAACCCCTCCCTAATATCCAACATTTTCGCTTATCCAACATTCTGCTGGCCCGTTTATGTTGGGTAAGTGAGACTCTACTGTACCTCAACCTCTGAGAATGCCTGCCTTAGATGTGGGCAGAACACCAGGAGAGAATGCTTCTGTAACATGGCCATACAGCCCGGAAAACTCACCGCAACCCATTTGAGCAGATGTCATGAATGACTTTTCAATGGCTTTGAAGCATAGGTTCTTTTTATTTCAATTTCCAGTGGGAGAAGGTATATCAGATTGCAGAAAACATTTAGACAAAGAATGGCATTAGATATTCAGACAAA